AATGGAAGGTTTGAAATATTCAAAGCAAACCAAGCATTTAGATATGAGTCTTGAATAAACTCAACCAAAGTCTCTAAATTTTGTAAGAAAAATTAGATTTCAACTGTAGAGGCATGCTTTCTCTGTTCCCCTGCTCTACCCCTCATTTCTGGATTTGCCAAAACAGGCCATCCTGCACCTCAAAACAGCAAGTGCTCATTGCAATCCCTACACCATCCCCCGGGTCACTGCTGGATTTCACTGTACCATAGGAACATCTGAACAAAGTCAATCCCACCAACTTGAGTCAAACATCCCGCCTCCACAGCAGTGCCTTTAGGCTGAGATCGAGTGTAGCATCTATTTTTATTGGTATAAGACCCAACTTGTCCTTGGTTGGGATTGGAAGATGCAGAGGGAACATGCTGCATACACAAACCAGAGCTGTGTCTCATCCCCTCCAGGATGGCATCCAAGTAGATGCCTAGAAAACAGTAAAATGCAAGTAAGTAGTACATGAAAACAGAGCTTTGAGCCCCTGACCTCTCACACCAGAAGGCAGAGAAAACACCTCCTACATGGCTTATACACATACATGTGGAAGTAAGAAGCACTGGGAGTTTCTCCAAAGCCACGAAACACCGGTGGGTGGTGGGTGTGAAGCACCTGTGCTAACTCAGGACTTCTGCTACAGACCTGACAGCAGGGGATGCCAGTGAAGAGCTCCAAGACCTCCATCACACAGTGCTCTCAAGAAAAGGTTTTAATGCATACTGGACTCTTTTCTGACCTTTACAATAACTAGAAGCAAGGACCCTAGTTAACAACTCAGGTTCTTTTTCCTTCCTTCCTACTCAGAAGATCCCTGACCATCTCAGTCTCAGCCCCCTTTCCTGCCCTGCTCTGTGCTGGCAAGATCAAGCACCCCAGTTAGTGCACCCCACTCTGACAAATGAGGAGAAACCACACATTGAAATACCTGCAATAAGACAGGAAGGAGTTGCAGCCATACGGCCTAATGGAAAATACAGTCAGCTGTAAATCCAGTCTGGAAAGCATTATCTGAAAAATACCAACAACAAGCTAATACATCCTGTGGTTCTTCTTTAGGCGAGATATTTGGGGGCTTCAAATCAGAACTTTTTCTGAGTAACACCTGGCTGCAGCCCAAGAGTTGCTGGAGAGCACAACTGCACAGAGAGTGAACTAGAATATTCCCCTGGGAGTGATTCAGGATTGTTTAATGCATTGCACAGTAAATACAATCTAGGATATTTAGACAGTATCTCCAGCAGCAGGAATTACTTGGCTCAGGGGAATTGTGATTGGATATAAGTGCAGATAAAGACCTGTGATGCCAGGATATTAAAAATGCAGCACTTTGAATTGCAGACAAGTGAATAGTTCAGTATCATTAGTATGGTATTAGTAGGGTGTGTAATTGTTTAGAAAATCTTTCTACCAACCTGTTTCAAATAGTTTGATGCTGATATTCAATATCTTGCACCACTGCAAACTCTGCTTTGAGTGGGATGCCTGTCTTGGTATTTACTTTTTTTTTTTTAATCACTGGAATGAAATTGCTAGGAATAATGATAAAATATTGTAAAATCCTGATTATCTTCTAACTAGACTGAAATCCTCCAAGACATAGCTGAGAGTAAAGTGCCTTTCCAGAGAGGAAGTCCCTAAAAAGATGAATCGACCAGAAAGCCTGAACATCAGCTGGGGCTGACCAGGAGGCTGTTCTCTGACATGGAAACCAGAAGCCACAAAACAGAAAGGTTCTCACCTGCTGTTAAGAGATGATGAAAGGAAAAGCAGCCTCAGGAAAGAAAGGACAGACAGGAGGAGAAAGTAGCAGGGATTTCCAAAGTAGCCTATTCCATAATCCCATGGAAAGTCTAGAGAACTAGGGACACAAACTCACACCAGCTTTCATTTGGTTTAGGCTCGATCCAAGTATTTATTGTAATGGGAGAGAAGAAATTATTGTTGTTACACTTTGTGTGGCTTTTGCTGTCCCAGGAGAAGAAAAATATGAGCCTGGAGTACCCATAAGGGGTCTGGGAAAGCAAAGGCTACTGGAGTGCAAGCCTGCATTTTTCTGAAGGCTAACTAGCAGAAATGCTCTATGAGAAGCTGTCTCTGGCCTTAAAATTTTATTTCTGGCACTTCTGCTTTTCATTAACCTCCTCTGCCCTCGCCTCCTTGTGAGACTGCTGACCCCAGGCATACCTCTCACAGGGTCTGGATCCTGCGGAGGTTTCTCTCCTGTCTGGAGCTACCTCTTCTCTCACATCACGTTGGTACTCAACTACTCTTGAGACCTTTCCCCTTGCCAGCATGGATTCTCAGCTATAGGAGGGCACAGACACCCTGAAGGATAGCATGCCATAAGGAATTCTCAAGGCAGTACATGTCAGTGCCAGGATTTTTAAAGCATGGCAGCATGCTGGACTGGCAGGTGTCACCAGCTGAATAGCTGAGCCATAGGCTGGCAAAGCACAGCTTTGGACAAAAGTAGCCTTTTCTGAAAACGCAGTTTCCTATTCATCTCAATAAATTGAACTGCTTCATTCAAAGCCAAGACACAATCTGGGAGCCGTAAAAACAGGAAATCTATTTTTTTTTTTTCAATATGTAAATAAAAAAGTAGATGTTCAAGAATGACATATGCTAATCCTACAACTCCAAATGAGCTGACAACTGAAAAAAAACCTACTGAATTATTTTTTTGTCATTTTGACTTTTGAATGGTTGATGTTTTAAGCGATAGTTATACCAAGGCAAAAAAACTCAGATGGTTAACTTCAAAAAAGAAAAATTAAGACGCCAAGGTTTTAAATGCAGATTTATTTTCTTCCAAATTCAAGCTGACATATACTGAAAAAATAAATAAAAAATAAGTTGTCTAATCAGACACTATTTTCTAACACATAAAAAGTCAGAATCTTAACATTAAGTTCATAGAGTAACATCAATATGTAAAACCCTTAGGCTTATTGAATTTACCACTGTTTGTGTGGAGTGGCAGACCAACGTGTTTTAATGTTATCAATAAGAGAAAAGTAACATTCCTTTGTGATTTAGAAAGTAAAAGCATATGAGGAGATTAAAATTGATTTTAGTTAATAAGATTTTCTTCCTTTCAGCTTAAATAATTTTGAATTTCAATGACTGGGGTCAAATCAATTCACACACAGGTACAGTTTGAATCCTTGGTTCAAAGGCACACAATAGTGAATAGAAGCCACTGCTTTGCTGAAAATGTCTGTGAGCATCAGTTATCCCAGCTGTACTTTTTGTGAACACATTTTGTACCAGAAGGGGCTACCCTCCACTGAACACCAAGGAATGGATGTCTCCTTTCCCCTCCTCCTTCCTCTACAGTCTTCATGTCTTTCCCCTTTCTCCTCCCACCCATCATTCACAGAACCCTAACTCATGTGTTCAGCCCCTTATTAATGGCACTTCTGTGGCTACTGGGAAATTCCACAAACCAAGCAATATATCCTGATAGGGAAGAAAAATTCTTTGATAGTTCTCTCCAGGAAGAACACTGAAGTCAAGGAGGTCACATGAGTAGAAAGGTCCACTGGATTTTCTTTGGAGCCATGCAGCTCAGTTGGGATGGCAGGCAGGCTGGAATGTGTAGATTTAATTCACCAGCACAGATGAGTACTTCTCCCTGGGATTAATTAATGATTGCTCTGATAAGCCTGCCTCAGATATGTGGGGCAGCCAGAGACAGTTAATGGGAATCTGTGAAGTCTCAGATTGTGAAAGATAATTAAAGGGAGGAAAAAATTTTTTTTTTTGCAGTGTCACTCACAGTGCTTCACGTTTTGCCCCCAGAAAGTGGAATGCTTTCAACATTGCTGAAGTGATGTATTCTGCAAACACTGACCCACCCCAAAAGGGCAATTTTGTCTAACAGTTGCCTTATTGGCCTAAGTCACCATGCAGAAATGCACCCGTCTTGTCACCCTTTGGTGAATGAATCTGGGCACACTGTTAGCTTCTCCATGCCTCCCCTCCCATACACTTAAAAGGGGGATATACAGCTTCCATTGAAACACACTGAACTACAGGATAAACACATTACTTTAAAATTGTCCCCGATTTAAGCTATTAAACCTTAAAATATACTTTTGGAAAAGTAAATAAATTTGCTTCACAAATGAGAATCCCAAAACAGACTCAATGATTCTCACTTTACTTATACGTCTTAAAAAAAAAACAAAAACCACTCTCTTCTCACATTAGCCAACTCTCCTAAGGTAAAAATAACAAGACAAAATTGAGACATACTTTCAAACATCTCTTCTATTGAAAAGGACAGAGGAGATGCCTGGAAAGACACTGAACATGCATACACATGCTGCTAGGCACATCAGCGCCGGTTAAAATCACCTGCAAAGGACAAAGATGCTCTGTCACTTCACTGTGGGATAGGAAAGAAAATAATGCCGCTGGTCCTCTGAGTCAGCTGAGCAGTTAATACTGAGCTTAGTTAGGGCCATTCTAAGGGGGCCGGGAGAGGGGGGACGGACACCACCAGCACCGCAAAGGCATTTGAGTCCAAAATGACTCTGCTGGGGACACGGTAAACACTGTCACCTCAGCCTTCACGGCCTCTTCCCTACAAAGGCCATGCCCGAGAGAGGACCGCCCGCCCGCGGGTCCGTGGCAGGCGCACACCAGCACCTTCTTCTGTCCGCGGCAGCCCCCGGGCTTCCCACCGGTGCTCCCGGCGGGGCTCCGCTCCCGCTGCTCCTCCGCCTGCCTGCCCGCGTCCTCGGGGACGGCGACCCGAAGCGGAACAGAAAACCAAGGCGACCCGTCCCTTGCGAGCAGAGCCCGCGGCTGCGGGCAGGTGGGCGCTCACTGCGGGGCTGCAGCAGCGACCCCGCGGTGCCACCGGAGGCACCGACCCCTCCCGGGCACCGAGCGGCGCCTGCCCCGCGGGGTGTGACCCGGGCGATACCGACAGCGGACAGCCGTCCCCCTTGCCTTACCTGCCGCCCGCGGTGCCGCGCTGTGCCGCGCCACAGGACCACAGGAGCCCGGCACCGCCGCCACGGCCGCAGCGCTCCGCCGTGCCCGGCGCCGAGCCCCGGGCGGGCGGGGCCGCGCGTCACGGGCGGGGCGGGCGCGGCCCAGGCGGCGGGAGGGAAGATGGCGGCGGCGGGGTGCGGGCTGCTGGCGGCGGGGCTGCTCCGCAGGCGGGTCGCCATTGTCACCGGCGGCGGCACCGGCAGCGGCAAAGCCATCGCCGCCGACCTGCTGGCGCTAGGTGGGCGCGGGGCGGGCTCCGCGGGAAGCCCCGGTGGGGCCGCGGGGCCAGGCGGGTGTTGGGAGGGCGGGTGGAGTTTGAGGGGCCGAAGGGAAATGCCCGCGGGCTGTGCTGCCTGTTGGGGGCTGTCGGTGCAAGGAGCCCGTGGGTGGGACATTGTGACAGGGTCAGCAAGGGGTGCGAGGTGAGGTTGATGTCCGACTGTGCCTTTTGGCCCGCAAAACGCTCGCTGTTTTAAACACAGAGGTCGGTGAGGTTATGTTAAACGAGGACCCTTTCTCTCAGACTCTCCCTTCAGTGAGGGCTCCTCTTGCTCCAGCTGGAGGATTTGCGGGGTTGTTGAACCTTGACTCTTAGAGAGCAGTTTCCTTAAACTGCTCCCGCACAGTAACATCTTAGAGACGTGGGGCTTCTCACAGTGTCTGCGATTTCTGGAACGTCCTGAATTTGAAGAACATCTTCATAATGCACGGCGTAGCATTTTCTTTCCACGCTGAATATAGCGAAGTGATAAAACCTAGAGTGAAAGGCAGTCTCCTGACTTTCTTATATGAGACCAGGAGAGGTAGAAATGACTCCTACATCCACTTTGCAACACCTTTCCTGCAGATTTCAACATCAGTGCTAGGGATCATCGGCATCAGACTGGGTTTGGATAGTTTATTGTCATTGTTAGATTCAGCGTCTTCAGAATACCAACGCTAGTGTTACAGCTCTCGGTGTCACACTCCCCTGGTTTGCATTGTTGGAATGTGCACCACTGCACTGCATCGTAAAGGGCTTTCTTTGTTAAGGCTGTGCTGGGAGACATCTCTGTCTCTCCTGGCCTTTGTGCCGCAGCTTTCTGCTTGCTTTGTAGAGCTGAATGGAGGATTAGTTCTGCTACCTTTGTATTACTGGGGAACTGAGCTTTGATTTTTTTTTTCAGATGTCCTTACATGCTGCTTTAAAGAGGTACTTTTTAAGCATCATCACACTGTTGGTTGGTGATGTTACCCAGTTATCTTAAAATTGTGCTTAATTTGATCTTTGCCGTTTTCCTCAAGTAAAATACAGTAACAGGAGTGTGTCCGTAACAGCTTAAATAGAACAGAATAGAAAACAAATCTATACAAAGGACATGAAGAAATTAAGAAAGAAAATGAAAAATTAAGAAAGGGATATGCAGGGCCTAAAACTGACTGAGTAATCTTCCTTACCTGTAGACTTGCTGGTTATTACTGACAGGATAATGATTAGGAACTATTTCCATACATACTCTGCACTTCAGCTAAGGGAGACTGGCACTTACAGGCATAGGAGCAGACACATAATGCTAGTCATGATATACATTGTTTATATAACCTGTCTCCTTTGAGGCCTTCTGGGCAAATTTAAACCTTTTATCTGGAAACTTGTGCCCTTTTCCCTGACCCTATCAGGAAATGGTCTGGTCATTCTTTGTGAAGAAAATTAATTGACATTGTCAGCTTGCACAGTATGTACCAAATGTTCTTCAGTAATTAGAATCTCTCCCTCTCCCAATCAGTACACTTAGCAAAAATATAGTCTCTTACTGGACCTTATTCTATATCAATGTGTGTATTTATAAGCACTTAAGTTGGTAAATACAACTGGGTGATTCAGTATTTTGTGTTAATTGGTAATTGTGTGTGGCATGTTATGAACTTTGCTTTAGTTAGGTGGTTGTGCAAGTGACTGGAATTCTTAATTTTAAAAAATATCAGGAGACATCAGAGACTACTGGTTTTATATGTGTTGTTTTAAGATGGCCACTAATTAAAGGTGAAGCTCCTATTCCTAAGGATATGTAGTTGTAAAGCTTCCCCCTGGAAGAATTAAACTTCTCTATTAACATATAGTTTCACAAGACAGCCTGATCAAATGAACAGCTTGCCGCTCTTTCCTCCCCCTAGTTATTTTGAGTTGATTCTGGTGTTTGCTTGATCATATGAGAGGCCAAATTCCACTCTGCAACAGAGTGGAGGGGGGAACCCTCACACCTGGCAAGATGTTAACTTTTCCCTTTGTTTTTTTTGGCTGGTTGAGGGTGATTTATATTAAAGCAGATGAGAAGCAGACGTGATATGAAGGAGAGATTACTTCTGCTGAATTGCTAAAATGATGGAAGGAGCAAGACCTCCTTGTCTGCTTGGCTAATAATTTGCTAATCCATTGCATGATATTGCATGCCTGCTGGATTTGCACTAAGAATTAATTTGGTGTCCTTTGGTTTAGTCTGTGTAGTATCAATTACTGAAGCCTTAAAGCTGTCCTGAGTCCACTGGTGTGACAGAAGAAATTCAAATGGTTTTGGCGTGAGTGCTTGACTTAAAGTTGGCACCTGCATTGTTTTTTCTCTGTAGAATGAATTGTTCTGCCTCCAAATGCTGGGAAAAAAAAAAAAAAAAAAAGAGTACTTGAGCTCCTGCCTTATTTTTTTTTCTATCCTTTCTTCAGCTAGAATTCTGCAGTGCCACAGGGAGGGGTCTGTTCCCACTGTCTGTAGACTGCAGATAGGGATTAATCTTGTGAGGCTATTATCCTTTCCTTCAGTCACTGTACAGTTAAAAACCAGACGATTGCATTTACTCATTGCTAGTCAAAATTACTGCCAGTTGTACAAGAAGATTATTTTTGTGGTTCTAAGAGCAAGCATTTTTTATAATCAAGATCTGCTGAAACATCTTTAAATCACTTAATTGATAAATGAGGCAGCTGTGAGCAGAAGCAGCAGAAGTGATGTCTGAAATCTGCTTTGCTGACTCTGCAACTCACAGGCTATCTTCCCTTCTGCAGGAAGGAGAGGAAATCTTGTGGACGTTTTTTTTTCAATTGCTCTTTTTCTGGCACAGAGGGATCTTGTTGCTAAGAAGCATCTGACATCAGCCATTTCTCTTTTTTGCAAGAACTTCAAGACTGTATTTTCTAGTCAGTGACTAATAAATGCACATCCTACAAGATATCGCCATGATGTTACTAAAAAAAAGCATAATTTTGTTAGCTGAATGTTTCGTTTTGTCTTTACAGGTTGCAGTGTTGTTATTGCCTCTCGTAAATTTGCTGCAGAAGACCTCAATGCCAGACTTGCTTCCATGAGTCCTGCCCAAGTGACCCCCATAGAGTGCAATATCCGCAAAGAAAAAGAGGTGAAGATGAGTGACCTTGTTCTGGGGCTTAACATACTGAAAGCATATTGTATATAAATTGTCAGATCTCTAAAGATTTCTGGCCTTCTCAAGAGTAGGATCAGGGGAAAGGTGGAGCAAAGATCAGTTAAATTGATATGGTTAGGTGTACTTCCCAAGGGAAGACATTTGTTAGCCACCTAAGCAAAAAAGTATTTGTAAATATTGGCAAATATTTTTCTGACTATGCTTACATATTTCAGGTATTTCTGGGAGATGCAGGCCTTGCAACTGGCATGTTCTACAGCAAGCCAGAGCCCACTTAGTATGATTCTTTGTCACATTGCTGTGACAGAAGTGAGGGGGTGTAAACTTGTGAAGATGGAGACCTCAGAATAGTTCCTTCAAACAGGAAGGCATAGCATGGAATCCGACTGCTTGTGACTTGACACAATTGCCCTGCATTGTCAGTTTGGCTTGTAGTAAAGCCAAAACCCCCCACAGCTATATAATATTTTGGCCATGTCAGAAATTTTGGTTACAGTTTGAGGTGTGCCTCATTGCAAACTCTGTTACTGGTCAAGTTGATTTTTAAATCTTTTCTTCATATTACAGAAAATGGAAGATCAAGAGCAAAAGTTCATAATCCAGGTTCTTCAGAAGTCTGCATGCACCTCCTAATTCTTTTTATCTCTGTAGTTAAATATTTAAAAGTCCAACTTCAGGTTGGATTTTTGATTTTTTGAAGACAGCTAGAAAATTTTCCAATAACCACTGATTGCTTCATTTTTCTAAACCACTCAAGGTCTCCCTTAACCTAGACATTAGTGACCTTCAGTAGTTATAAGGATTCTGGAAATATCCTAAGATATAGACATAAAACAAATAAAAATTAAAATTCTTCCCTTGTGGAGCAGTTCATGCCATAAAATATTTATAATGATCTACTCAGACTTTCTCTCCTGAAGTAGATGAACCCTGGGGCTCTGCAGTATGTCACTTCACCTAGCATTGAATTTTAGTTGTGTATTTACTGGCATCAGCAGTGCAACATAATAGGTTATGGCAGATGTCAGAGGTCAACTTGCATGATTAAAGCTACAGGAAAGAGGAGCAGTAAAGAGGAAATAAGGTTTAGGCCTTTTTTCAGTTCTGTTTCTTGTAGAAAGTACCCTGGCATGCTTAATAACCTTCTGCAGGTGAATCTTATTTCTGTATCAGTGCGAAATTGATTAGTAGGATCTACAGCCTTCTGGGAGATGGTTTGGGGCTTGCTTGGATGGTGAAATGGGGTAATCTCCACTAAACTGCTGTTTCTTCTTTGTTTCCTTCTTAATTGTGGCTAAACACCTATTTGACAAAACAGGCTTAAGTGGCTTTGGAAATTTTTGAAGGTGATTTTCAAGCCTTCTTTATAATGCTCTGTAAAGAGTTTAGGCATTATTCTGTGTAATGATTAGCCATACTGATACTTGAAGAAACTTCTGTCTTTGCAAGAATTGTCGTGTTTCAAATTTAAACTCTGCCCATTTACAGGCACACCAGAACTTTCCTAGAACTTTTCATATGATATTAGTGAAGATTCTATTGGACGTCTCCTATCAGTGGAGAGACTTCAGAGGGAAAAGGCAAATTAAACTCTAGTTTTGAACTTTTCACTTATTGATTTAGTCTTATAGTTTGACTCACGTCAGTTCTGCAACTGCTGTTATTTATTTCTGTTAAAGTCCTACTTATAA